GCGGGGGAGGGGCGGCTCGGCTGCGGGGCCTCGTAAGGGCGCGCGGGGTCGCGCCCGCGGTCGGAGGTGCGCTTCACGCGCCGCGTTTTCGAGCTCGGAGTGCTCTCGGCTGGAGGGCGCCCGACCCTGCGCAGGGCGTCCCTTCAGCAGCCGCACCGACGGCTGCCCCGCCCCTCGGCCGCCCGCCGCGGCCGCTCATCCCTTGCCATCTGCAGGCGTACGAGGCGCTGAGCACGCAGCGCACCGCCTACGACGCCGCCCTCGCCGCAACATCGGGCGACGGCGATGACTCAGATGACTACGAAGACGACGACGGGCAAATGACCGAGGTGGTGCACGTGCCCTGCGACTGCGCTGATGGCGAGCACCTGGCTACGGTGCACTTGTGAGTGGCGCGCCGGCCCGCTGCAGGGCGCCGCGTGTCTCCAAGGAAACGGGGCAGGGCCTAGGGTTGCGGCTGCGGGGGCACGGGGCCGGGCGTTGGCTCGATTTTGAGGGCAGTGCGTGCCCGGGCCGGCCGCAGCAGCCCCGCACAGGACACGTCCGCAGGCACCTTCCCTCTCTCGCAACGACGCTGCCGATTTACGCGCGCGCGCGCACACACACGCGCACACACGCGCGCACACACACACACACACACACACACACACGCACACACACACACACACGCTCGCACGCAGCGACGTCCACTGGCGTTGGTGTGCCTCCTGCAGCTCGTGGCACAAGGTCAGGCCGCGCGATGTGTGGGTCCACGAGACCCGCCGCCTGGCCACCCGCGAGAGGCACGCGCTTCAGGCGGGGCCGGCGTCGGAGGTTTTCGGAGACCCTGATTGTGGGGACGGCCTGGTTGTGCTGGAATACACGAACAACTATGCGTGCACCTTGGGTCGCCAAGGGACGGACATCTTCCAGGTGCCCGCCAACCCGTGCATGTGCCGCGGGGGCGCCGCGCCGGCCGCGCCGCGGCAGCCGGACGCGGCTGGGCCGGCGCGGCGGCAGCAGCGGGGGCGGGGCGGCCGCCGCGGCGGGAGGCGGTGACGGCGGGGTTGGTTTCAGTGATACATCACCCGCGCATCGTGCTGCTCCCTGCCGCGTCTGTCCGCGAGACAGCTGCACACGCTTCAATGTGTTTTCGTGTGCATGTGTGCGCGTATCGGCAAGGTAGCTGCCGCCTCGTGTATCTCTGGCATGTAAGGGTTAAACCCACGCACGTGTTTGGGGTGGGTCCCGGTCTCCAGCCTGCTGTTGACATGACATGCTCCCTTCCATTTGTATTTTTTGCGGTGCGCCACGGGCGCTTTTCAAATGGTCAGGTCAAGCGGTTGAACACCTGTCATGACGTCGGCCTGCGGCGCATGCTGGGTGTGCGCCAGTGCGACTGTCACACATAGCAGTAGTCGCATCTACAGCCAATGTGCGGAGCGTCCCGTTGCCTGCTAGCTTCATGTCAAGAGGCTGCGCCCATTGGGCCAGGTTGCAGCGCATCACGCTTTGCAACGACTCATGACACACGCCTGGCTGCCCAACCTGGTGGTGTGGAGCGCTGCCCCTGGCCCGCACGCTGTGGGGCGCCCGTGCGTCTCCCATTTTGGGGTTGTGAGGTGAGGCTGTGCTGCCATTGGGATAGGCGTCCCCGTTCAAGAAGACCGCCGCTGCTCTAACCGCTTGGGCACAGGCCTGCTGGGCTCTGCTGCGTAGCATGCGGGCGCCCTGTCACTGATTCTCAGCTTGGCCCCACCCGCTTTCTCCTCTGGGCATACAGCTAGATGAGGGCGCTGCTTCCCTTGGAAAGCCAGGTTTTTCATTGACCTTTACACAAGGGTTCATCCTCGCTGCTGGCAAAGCGGGATGTGATGTGATGTAGTGCGCGCGTGTGCCTGCAAAGCATGATGTCATCAGTACACCCTGATTCTGTACAACCGTTGTGCATGCTGCCTGCGTCACATTTTGCAAAGCGTTCGTACTTGAAAAACCCTGTTGAAAACGATTATGGGCATACCTGCTTACACCATCATAACCACTTCGTGCTGTTCTGTTTAATTGGGTAACTCGCACTCCTGCCCCCCTTCGCTGCCTGGCGCATCTCTGTCGGCGTACGGCCTGACCCGCCAGCGGCCAGCTTGGGCTTTCGTGTGTCCACGCTGTGTGAAGGGCTATTTGCAAGCAAGGGCTGCCAGGGAGGCACGACCACAGCGGGCTGGTGTGGTCGTACCTGACAATGCGCCATGCTGCAAAACGGCACCTTCGGCCCCCTTTGCGGCTACTTGGGGGCACACTGGGGGCACCTTGGAACGCCCTTGCGCGAGAACGCAGCCTGAACCTCAGCAGACAATCTGATTTTGAGGTGTTTTACACGTCAATATGCAGGCCTTGCAGCCAGCTCAGACTCAGGCAAAGGGGTTGGTCCCCTGGCAGATTGCAGCATCCTGGTAGCTGGGATGTGGGTCCGCAGCCAGTGCCAGGGCCCACCGCGTGGAGGTGTGCTGCTTGGGCCCCAAAAATCAGTGCGGCCCGCACGCAACGGTACAGGTACTGTAGCGTTGCGTGCGGCGCTCAGCCCGCCCCCCCGGCATCGCCAGGGTAGCTGTGGCGACCACATTAAGCGGTGCCACTGGAGAGGTTCCCGGGATATTTCACACACAAAGAACCCCTCCGCTTGAGGCCACCCCATACGGGGCCCCTGGTTAGCGGGCCGCCAGGTCGCCGCTGTGCGAGCAGCGCGGGGAACTGGGAGCGCACCCCCAGTCCCAACAGCGCGCCGCCCTTTGACCCGGAGATGCAGCGCCTGCAGCAGGGGGTGCGAGGCAGTGCGGCGCGGACGCGGGAACACCAAGCATATAGTAGATCGTGCGTTGCAATGTCATACAGGCCTACTGAGGTTGATCCCTGCCAACAGCATGCCCCGACCTTCCCGCAAGCCTGCGAAAACGGTGCTAGGCGAAAAGAAAAGTTCTTGAGTGGGCGGGGAAACAATACCGTATTACCTTCAATGATGACCTAAAAATAGTGGTATGAATGCCGTTTGCGTAGATGTGCGCTATTTGATCGTGATGATCGACCCAGCAAGCGACCTGCATACTGTTTTCCATGGTAGGTTCATTCCAGGCGTGCAGAGCTGCAAAAGAAGAGCTCGAAGTGCATCAATATTTGGTAACAGCAGGCAGCAAGTGGGTCCTTGAAGGCAGGAGCTCCCCGACAGGGTTGACCGACATGTTGACCGTGCCGTGCATGACCGCATGCACACCAGTCAGGCGCCAAACAGGCCAAGTGGCCGTCAGTTAAGTGCGTCATCACTTTGAATTGGTTTTGAGGAGCCAGCATGAGGAGGGGCACACCTTCAAGTGCAGGGCTGTCCTGGTTGTTACGACACGTTTCATTGCGACAAATTGCCTGCCGGAGTGACAAAACAGCCACTGCCCGTTCTAAACCTCCCCGTCCTCTCCCACCCTCTGGCCGGCTCCCCACAATGTTTGCAAGCGAGTCCTGTGCGGTTCTGTAACGGAAATTAGAAATGTAACGACGTTGAGAGCCTCCGGTGCGATCTTGGATCGCATCTCATCTGGGACGTCCACACAACAGTCAGCATGTCTGATGTAAAGCTGGTATGATACATCATGCAGTGCAACCTGATCATGCAAGACATGACCCTTCACAAAAGGCATGTCGCAAAGCTATGCAAGACTGGCAGCACCTGTATGACCACCCAGGCGCCCCGGGCATCACGCCACGCCAAACCCGGGCACTGACCTGAGCGTCACAGATTTCAAAACAGTATGATACGGTACTGGGTGACTGAAGAAGCAAGCCCTAAGACCATGTCGTCTCATCTCGATGATTTGAATTCACGTATTTTCCTGGAGCAAACGATGTAAGGGCCTCCAGCGAGCGCTGGTGATCTGACCGCGGGCTTGGATTTTCTGCGGCATATGAAATTAGAGACGTGATAGATGTGACATAACAGATGGTGTTTGCATCAGGATATAGCCGCTGACAACAGGCGACACAGCGGCGCTGCCGCCGTCGAGTTGACCGTCGCGCAGCGCCGCGCACAGCTGCAGTGCCGCGCAAGGACAAATCCTGGGAATGCAGATCCTGGGTTCTATCAACGCCGCGCCGCGGGCTCACCTGTGCTGCACCGATGGTGGGTTCCTTTTTCGGCGCCCCTGGCACACGACACAAACTGCACCTCACAGAACCGTGCATGAGGAGCCCCTGCAGGCTGCTCCTGTCAGCGCCTCCCCCATGACCTCGCACCGACCCCATTATCGCGCGCAGGCGAGTACGCCGCCGCAGCGCACGGGGACCAGATCACAATATGGTACCCGCCAGATCCCAGCTCCCCACCCGTGACACTGCGCGCGGCGGCATGCAGCGGCGGCGGCAGCAGCGGCGGTGGCAGCGGCGCGACCGCCCTCTGCCTCGGCCGCGGCCGCCTTGGTGCGTGCTGAGGTCTGCCATCGCTCCGGGGGACAAACGCTTGATCCAGTCGGACGCGCATAGAAAATTACTATATCAATGCTGCCTCAGCTGGCACATCAGCGGGTTTGCGCCAGGCGTTAACTCGTATCCCCCCTCCGCACAGGCCGGCGGCGAGCTGCGTTGGGGTTGGACCAAACGCTGCTCTGCTGCGCCCGTGGCCCGGCCGTGGCCGTGTGGGTCGTGCAAGAGTGCTACGGGTCGGCGGCAGGGGCAGCAGCAGCCGACCCCGCGATCTGCCGGGTCCCCAGGGCGCTGCGCCCCGCGCCCCGAAGGGCAACGGTGGCGCCGACGCAGCTTGTTGGCGGGGGCGGCGTCGATGAGGTGGGCGCGATGGCGTTTGACAGCGCGTCGCAGCTGCTGGCGTTTGGCACAGGGTGCGCAGTCAACGTTTGGGACGTCTCAGAGCCGCAGGAGCTGTACAGGTGACTCGTAGTTGGTCTGTTCTGGCAAGTACATTCGATGAGAGAGGCACAGACAGACAGACAAAGAGGGAGACAGAACAATGGTGTCTGTGTGAGTGAGTGTGCATGTGTGTGCATGTGCGCGAGGACTGATACTTGGGGTGTGCGTGGCCGGTGCACCGCCCGCCGCAACCTGGCAGGCTCGAGGGCCACCTGGCGCCAGTGACGGCCCTGGCGTTCCTGCCGGGTGCCGACGCCTTTGTCGTGTCGGCGAGCGAGGACTGCACATTCAAGGTTGGTGGGCGGCAGGCCTGGGGCGGCCGCCGGTGGATGTGGATGGGTGCGAGCAGGACGCGTCCCCAGGGGAAACATGCGTCTGAGTTTTAGCAGGAGCAGTACGTAACTGGCAGGGGATTCCAAGGGTGGCAGATAGAGCGACTCTTGATAGGCACCACCGCGTGACAGATGTGCAGCCCGACTTTGTGTGCATGCATGTGCTACGCACCAACCGGAAACTCTGAACCCTATCACGACCTGCTTGCTGTGCGTGACCCCAGGTGTGGGACCTCGTGGAGGGCTCGGTGCTGCACGAGAGCGCGGTGCTGGGGCCGCGGCCGCCCACGGCGCTGGGCGTCGACGCGGCGTACGGGCGGCTTGCGGTCGGCGACGGCGGCGGGGGTGTGCGGCTGTTTGACCTGTCTGACCTGTCGGCCTGCCGTGCCACGCAGGTGCGGTAGCTTATCAAGGAGGTTCAGCGTGCTGTGCTTTTTTGCGTGCATGCGCGCTTGTGTGCGCGCGCGCGCTTGTGCGTGCTTATGTGCGCGTGCATGTGTGCGCGAAGTGTGTGCAGTCAACGGGCTGCTGCTTGGTAGGCGCACCCCAGCGGGTGCCACAAACAGCAGTCCCTGGATGCATCGTGGGCTGTGCGGACTGCCTGAGAATTTGTTCTCAACATTGCATTGCCTTCAACCCCGCAGTCCCTGGACTTGGACAGGGAGCTGCAGCGGATCACAGACGCCGCCATCGCGGAGCGCCGCGCTGCGGCCGCCCGGCTGGACGCCATGGCGCGCACGCGCACCATCACCGCGCAGCCTGCATGGCGGCGTCAGGCGCACCTGCAAGCCGAGGCGCGGGGCCGGCTCTGCAGCGGGGAGCGGGGCGGCGTGCCGGCGGGCGGCAGCGCGGGCGTTGTGGCTCTGGCATTTGTAGGGGGTGGGCACCAAAGGGGTGGCGCCCTCGAAGACCTGCCGGAGCTGCTTGTTGGGACGCCGAGCGGCGTGATTGTTTTAGACGCCGCGCTGAGAGTGTCCAAGGCGTTCCTTTTCGGTGGCGAACGCCGTGTTGAGCCGGCCTCCTGCAGCGGGAGCGGCGACGAGCAGTGCCGCGCACTTGCGGCGCTGGCGGTGGCGGTGCCAGGCATCAACTGCGCCGGCGCGGTCTGCTTTGGGGCGCTGGAGGGCGGGCCCGCTGCATGCGTCGTGGCGCAGTGCTTTGGCCCAAGAGTGGTCGTGCTGCAACTGGCGCAGGAGCACGATGCTGCACCCGCAGGCCGCGACGCCGGCAGCCCCGCACCCCCGGGGCTCGCAAGCACGGGCGAGCCTGGCGCTCCGCTTTGCAGGGCGGAGGCTCCCTGCGGGGCCGCTGCACCAGTGAGCTGCGATTTGGCAGGTTTTGCGGCGGATCAGATTCAGCAGCAGCTCGGGGGGTTTACAATATCAGCGGCGGCCGAGGCAGCTGCGGCGGCGGAGCCGCTGCCGCTGTCCGTGTTTCGATCTCGCCCTCTGCCGCCCGGCTCGCCTCTTCTGGGGGGCGGCGCCGCCATCCGCGCTGCTGGCGCCGCGCCGTGCGGCGAGGTACCGGCGAGCGTCGCTGGCAAAGGCAGCGGGAGCAGTAGCAGCAGCTGTTTACCAAGTAAGGACGATTGCAGCAGCGGAGGTGTTGGCGAGCCGGATGACGTCATCACGGCCAAATCCAGCGACCGGGCCAAGTGGGAGGCCGGGGCCTGCCGCGGCTGCCGCGGCGCCGGCCAGCCCGCCGGCACTGCTGGCCGCTGCGGCGCCGGGCGAAGCGCGGCTGGCGGCGAGCTGGCGGGCAGGGGTGGGGCGCCGGCGGGCAGCAGCCAGGCAGGCCGCACGCCAGCCACCAAACCCAAGAGGCAGCAGCCAGCAGCCACAGGTGCCAAACGAGCAGTCAAGAGCAGCGGCTACGGCTTTGTGCAGCCGCAGGTGAAGCTTGGGCAGTCAAAGCCTGCGCCAGTCAAGGTGCGAGGGTGCTGTATGTGCAATGAGACTCGGGCAGCGCTTGATCGCTCGTCATACTGTACCACTCACATAACGCCGTGTGCTGTTGCCACAACGCAGCTGCCTTAGCTAGCCCACCAAATCCTGCACGCAAAGGTGGCCGCGCCCCAGGCGCCGCAGAGCCTCGCCGCCCGGCGGCTGGCGGAGCGCTGTTCATACCCTTTGGACGGCGCCCCGCCCACAGCCCACCAGTCGGACGCTCAGCTGCCGGGCGGGGCGGCCTTGCACAACAGCAGCGTTGTCCGCCTGGCGTTCTCGGGTGCGCCAGTGGGTGGGCCGTGGGTGGGTGGTACTGCCGGCCTCGGGATGAGAAATGGGGTGCATGGCGTGGCACACACTGGTTATTGTCACGTCACGCAAACCCCGTGGAAACCGCTGGCCAACTCTTGCTGACTCCTCCAGGGAAAATGTATATATATCCAGGCCGACTATCTTGTCCAGCTATGGCAGAGGCATGCAATTGAAAAATGCATGACCGCATCACTTTGGTCATGTCCCGCCGACGGCCGGCCTGCGCCGCACTCGCGCAGGCGACGGCTCCCGCCTCGTCACGGCTTCCTCGGACAAGACCGCCCGCTGCCTGCTGCTGCCCACCAGCCGCCACAAGGGCGCCGGCTGCACCTTCATCGGGCACGACGGCCCCCTCACGGGCGTCGACTGGAGCCACGGGGGCGGCCACCTGCTCACCAGCTCGGCTGACAGGTGGGAGGCGAGGCCTCGCTGCATTACTGACACCACCAGTCGAGCGGCAGGCAGAGGCCTGCTGGCTGGCGGGCGAGATGCTGTCGTTGGGAGCAGGGTTTTAGGGTTTCAGGGTTTTAGGGTTTTAGCTCCTAGGAACGAGCGCTCCTGCAGCAGTTTAGTGTGGCACTAGACTGCTGTCTGCAGCAGCAGTGTGGAGCTGGCTGTCATGACATCTAGTATCCTGAATCACGGCTTCACTCCCAACTGACGCTCTCTTACTCCACACCCCCTTCCCCGCGCGTTGCCAGGACCGCGCGGATGTGGGCGGCGAATCAGCCCGCCCCTCTGATCGCGATCACCGGGGACCGGCAGGGCGGGGGCGCGGCCAGGACCGCGGGTTTTGTGTCAAAAGTCACTGCGGCGCGCTTCTTCTGGATGGACGCGCGGGTGCTGGTGGCGACGTCGAACAAACTCCATATTTTTAGGTGCGCCGGCGTCGTGAGATCTTTCTGGTGCGAGGGTGCGAATTATTGTTGGCTGTGCTGCAAGCAATTGTACAGTGGCTGGCAGGCCAGTGATTGGGTTCATGCTGTGCTGGTGATCGCGGGGTAGGACCCTGTGGTGGCGCTGCCTCCACCCACATTGTTTAGTGAGTGTGTAGAGTACGCCTGGCAACGTGCTTCGATCGTTCGTGGTGATGGTGACGGTGGCGGCGCCACAAAGATTTGTGATGCCTTAGGCTGTACGAGGGTGACCCGGGTGCCAGCAGGATGTGCAATTAACAGCATACTCTGGGGTGCTAATTACTGAGTGGCTTAACTCATGATGCGCATCCGGCCCGCTATCATCGCGGTATGATGCCATCAAATGCCCGCCGCCCCCAGGTACGACCTGCCAGATGGCGGCGACGGCAAGCAACCTGCACTTCCCGGGGCCACGAGCCAGCAGCCGCGCGGCCGCACGTCCCTGGCCGCTTCGTATTCGAGCGCCGCGCAGTCGATTTTGGCAGCATCCTGCCTCAATTGCTGCTTGTCACCGCTGGCGCTGCTGTGCGGGAGTGACAGGAGCGTGGAGGTGCTGGACGTAGGAGAGATGAAGGTGATGTGGGGCGCGCGCGCGCGTGTGTGTGTGTGTGTGCGTGCGTGCGCGTGCGTGCGTGCGTGCGTGCGTGCGTGTGTGCGCGTGCGTGCGTGCGTGCCTGCACGTGCATGTTTCCGTGCTTGTTTGTTGCAACTGTCTATGGGTGGCGTGCACGTTGCATCTATACCTCATGATTCGATTGAGCACCTCCCTGTGGCGCCTCCACCCCCAGGTGGCACTACGCATCCCGGACGCCCACGCCCGCGCCCCGCACGCCGTTGCCCAGCCCCCCGGCTCCCCCTTCGCCGCCGTCGGCCGGGAGTCCTTCGAGCTGTTCGCCACCGCCGCAACGGACCGCGCTGCAAAACTCTGGGACCTGCGGGCCGGCGGCCGCTGCGCGCGGCGCTTCTCGGGGGGCCACAGGAATACGCAGGTGGGGGTCGTGGGGCTGGAATGCAGCCGTTGTTGGGGTCATTCAAAGCAGTGCACGCTCGCCCGTAGGTATATACAGTATAGCTGCCTTGCTCCTGCGTTTGTCCTTGCCGGCAGCGAGCGGCCGAGCATCAGCTTCACAAGCCGCAAGCGCCAGCGCGTGCGACGCCGCGTCCCCCGCCTTGCTCTGCCCCCGGCCCCGCGTACGCGCAGCTGCACGTGGGCCTGGCGCTGTCCCCCTGCATGCGCTTCCTGGCCGTGGGGTCTGAGGGCCGCGGGGCCGCCCTGTACGACATCAGGCAGGGCGCCCTGCTGTCTACCCTGGAGGCGGGCCCCGATGGCGCCGGCGCCGGGGGCGGCGGCGGCGGGGCCAGGGGGGCGGCGCTGTGCGTCGCATTTAATCCGCTGCGGCCGCAGGCGGCGGTCGGGTTCCAGGATGGGTCTGTCTCGTGGTTCCGCCCCTGAGCGGGCCGCTCCTTGTCGCCCGTGTGCCCGGTCGGCCGCTCGGTGTTCGCTGGGGCGAGTGGCGGGGGCGGGGGATGGGTAGTGCGTGGCGCGCCGCCAACAAGCGCCGCACCCGGGCTCGCCAGGTTAGCTGCGCAGCTGTGAACTCTTCGCTGCGCAGCTGTGACCTCTATCCGTTTGTTTGCGGCCGCCCCCTCTCAGTGTTCGAAACTCTGGGTGAAAAAAATGCACATCGTGTCATGGCATGCTGCTAGGGTCCTACCAGGCTGATCCCAACCATGTTGTGCAGCCTCCGCTCATTTTTTTGATGTCAAAACTTACACTGCACTGCAGAAGGGCGACGCAAAGGGACTGCTGAGGGGCCCCTCCTGCACACGGCCCTGCATACGCCATGGTTGCGTGGCATATGCAAGCGGTAGTGGAACGTGCAACACCGCTCTGATCAAAGCCGATCCGGAAAGTCAAAGTTCGGTGATCTGGTCAAATCGAGTCAAAGACATGCGCTGTGGAACCGGATCTAAAGTCCGCGCTTGGATGAGAACGTCGAAAGGGCTGGGCACCCGCGGCCTCAGCAGAATGCAGGCAAAGTGAGCATTGCGCATCGCTTGCCTGCCAATCCCTCCAACAAGCACCCCTGGCTCGCCCCGTCAGATTTTGAAAACTCAACCGACGCCACCCACCTGCACCGACGCGACCCCCATCGTCTTCACTCCCCCTGCTGCCGGCAATCGGATCCCACAAACTCCCCCGCCTGATGCTGCCTGCCTGGCACGCCCTCACCAGCCTCAACTGGTTGCCCCACGCTACAGCCCCCGAAAGAAATGCATCCTGCCCCCACTCTTGGACCAGCGTCCTGCCGCTTGCAGCGCAACTGCTTATGCCTCCATTCCAGGCACGCCAGCCACCGCCAGCTGTCCCTGCTGCAGATCAGCGGGCTCCTGAGCCGCCTCTGGGGCAGCCCGCGCGCCCCCGCTGCCGCAGGGCCATGGCGCCGCAGCCGCCGCCGCGGCCGCGGTAATGCGGCAGCCGATCGCGCCGGCGCGCTTGCAGCCCGCCGCGCCCTGCGGCTGTGGCTGCGCCTCTGCCTGCCCGTCGCGCCATGCCGCCTCCGCCTCCGCCCCAGCTCCCGGCTGCAGCCCCGCCTGCTGCTGCCCGTCGTGCACCGCTGGCCCGTCCCCATCCTGCTGTGGCGCGGTGTCGGCGCCGGCGCTGGCGCCGGCCTCCGCCTGCTGCTCTCGGGCGTCGAATAGATGAGCGTGTGGCTGGGGCCCGCCAAAGTGCTGTTCCTCATCGTGAAGCAGCAGCTCCACGGTCTGGGCCAGCGCGCGCAGCGCGCTGCGGGGCGCGGGAAAACGGGGGACGGAGGGTCGTGATTGTTGCACGCGGGGGCGTCAAGGGTCGGCCTGGCAGGGGGCGGTCAAACGCTGGCCAGGGCGGGGCGGTGGAAGCGTGTGAGCTGAAGCACTTTTGAGGGCGACCCTGCGCGCTCGTTGTTGCCGAGTGGCCGGTCCCATGATGGAGCGCCTGCCCGCCTCGAGCAGCCCAGTGTGTTGTTCCGTCCGCACACCCCAACCAGCCCCCCCCCCCCCC